CCTCTCTCCAGAAGCTGGACATGGAAAAGCAAGTCCGGGTGACTGGGGCCCTCTCAGTGTCCCAGAAGGGAGGGACCTACAGAAAGGGAGTTTTGTGTGACATCAGAGGGGCCTTTGTGAATGTGAAAGGTGGGGCCATCCCCGAAGAGGTACCCTCTAGACACATGTGCACATGCTCACACACACGTGATTAGGAATATACACACACACAAGCATGTGTTCACACACACGCACACACACACATTGTGTCCTCTCTCAATAGCCTATTCTCAATCCTTCTAAATTTATAAAGCAGGAGTCATATCCCTCTTTGGCACTCTGTATAGTCTCCTCTGTGAGTGATCAGTAACCAGCTGCTAGTGCTGGTCATGGGATGTCTTCCTCTGACGTGGGCAAACGAAGCCAGTTCAACGGCCAGCAAGACATGCACATCACATGGCGGTGCTGAGTCAAACTTCTCTAGTTCCTATGGTTTCCAAGTATTGGTGGCGACTAGGCAAATGTCCGGTATCTTGTGCCTATGTGTCCCTCCAAACACAAGCCAGACCCGATAAACACCTAACCCCGCAAGCAGTTAGACTGTGCTGTATTTCCCACTGCCAGCTTGGAGTTCTCTACCTGTACTCTGCAGATACAGCTCAACCTCAACACGTCCCAAACTGAAACACTGTGTTCCCCTGCAAACTTGCATCCCATCCACGTCATTCACTGTGTCGCCCAAGTCGGGAACATGAGCATCACCTCTGGGTTCTGGCTCTCTGCTGCCAGAGCTTGTCCACCCCTGGGCCTCTGTGGCCCTTCCTCCTTCCTGCTGAGACACTGCACCAACATGCACCGGCGCTGTAACAACATCTGGTCACTCTCTTTGCCTTCGGTCTTCACCCCGATCCCAAACTCCCTTCCCACACTCTTGCCCCAGGTGTCCTCTGCAATGCAAGGGTGAGTACATCACTCTCCAGTTTAACAACCTTCAGTGATCCTGAGCTGTGTCTTAAAATATTTGTCGATTCCTTGGCAAACCATACAGTCTCAATACAGAGTCTTTACCCTTCCTTCTCTTGTCACAACAAAACATTCTGCTCAGTGTCTCTTCAGGCTCCCAGCCCTCACCTGGCCCGCACAGATGTCACGTGTCACGGCTGTCTGAGAGAGGTTTCCCTGTTTCCATCCAAGCGTGTGAACTGCTCGGGGCAAGGATACCGCCTGGCTCACTGCGGAGCCTCTGGAACTACGCTTTGCACAGGGTGGGTATCCAACAAATGTCTGGGGAGTGGGAGGACGACAGACAACACTGACCAGGGACTGTGACACGAGGACGTGGTGGCACAGACTTACCTCGGAGAAGCCCTCCAGCCCTTGGATAGGGTTCCACAATCCAGAACCGAGAGTCCCAGAGCTACTCCTTTTTGATACACATTTACACTTTGTTTCCTAATTGCACGTTTTATTTTCAAATATTATTAAATTAACTAGGGTGTTGTTCTACTTGCCCCTGCCATGTGGTTTAAGTATTTGTTTTGGATAAACTATTAATTTACTTAAAAGACTGATCACAGCTTCTGCAGAGATTGCTGCTGAGGGCTGCCCTGCTTGCCTGCAGGCAGAACCCACACTCAGGACCTCCCATGACACTCCTTAAGTTACACCTTTCCTTTTGTTCTTTTATCTTTCAGCTTTCTTGTCCCATAGCCATAGAGCATAACCAAAAGTGCGTAACGCCGGGCTGAGAGAACCCAAGGATTTTTAAGTGCCCAGATGTAGCTCCTTGATCATCAGGGTGAGGCCTTGATGTCCCTCACGCCGTGGACTCTGTATCCTTCCAGAGCCTGATTCCCTAACTCATTCTCCGCAATCGCGGGGATCTGTCAAAGCACCTCCGATCCTTAGGGGCTCCAGCCTGACTCTGGAAGTAGTGTCTTAAAAAGTTAAACTCTTTCCCTTGTAAAACTCGTCTCTCCGGAAATCTTAGCGAAATCTCAGAGAAATCGACTGACTCCTGATCATCATGCAGCTTTCTCACATGGTTTATGATTTAAACAAATAAAATAAAATCACATTGGTGCGGCGGGGCCACCCTGGACTGGACCGGCAGAGAGAAACCTCGGACGGACGGGTCTGTCCCGGGAGGGGCGGAGCTGACCTGGTGGGCGGGGTCGTCGCGGAAAGGGGCGGGGTTAGCCCGATGGGCGGGGCCTGCGGGGCCCCCTGAAACCGCCGCTCTCGCGACTCCTGGGCCTCCTCAGCACGGAACGTGCGCCGCGGCGGTGAGGGAGCGAGGCAGAAAAGCCGCCGTTCGTGCCCCGCTGGCTGCAGAAGTTGTTGCCACACATTTCGGATGCGCGTTTTCCACGCCTCATTCTCGGTCCCGCACGTCCGGAGCGGCCACGGCCCTGTCACCACAATCGCAGCCACACGCCCCTTCCCCTGACTCGCCTCGGCTGCCCCGGCCGGCCTGTCCGCCTCAGACCCGGCCTGGCCACCTCACACCCGGCCTGTCACAGCCGGACGCGAGGTGGTGGCGGGAGAGGGCGGAGCCAGGCCGCGCAGGGGGCGGGGAGAGCGTTAGGGCACGTGAGGGCGTGTTGGCCAATGGTAGGGCGCTGTGGAGGGCGGTGGGCCGGGCCTGGAGGCGGGGCTGACGCCGGGGGCGGGGCCGGGCCGGGCCGGGGTGCCGGTGGCCCGCTGAGCCCGCTGTGACCTGCAGCTGGTCCACGACGAGAACGTGCGCGGCGTGATCACCATGAACGAGGAGTACGAGACCAGGTTCCTGTGTAACAGCTCCAAGGTGAGCCCCGGCAGGCCGGGCGGGGGGGGGACACCTTGGGCTCCCGGAGGACGCCCGGGGGGCCTGTGCCGGTAAAGCTGCCCCCCACCACTTGCTGTGGTCCCAGCACCCAGAAGCGGAGGCAGGACGACTACTTGAGCCAGGCAGTTTGAGACCAGCCTGGGCAGCGTGGTCAGACTCTGTCTCAAAAACAAAAACAGTCAGTTGACAGAGTAGACAAAGTCTGATTGCTCCTTTATGCACAAAGTTACAGCCTTACTTTCCTCACTGAAACTGCAAAGGCACTTCTGGGGCCCATTCAGCCCACACTCCCTGAGTGCTCAGCGCCTGGGTCAGGCGCGGGACTGGAGCTGAAGGCCCTGCCTGCGGCGGGCAGGAGCGCATCCCGGGCGCGCCCTTGGCTTTGATTTGAGGAAATGAAAGAGGTGCTGGAAATCTACTGTGCTCTCGAGTTCAGGCCTAAAACCTCACTTTCGTTACATGAGCGCTTTCCTATGGGGCCTTCTGCAGTGGGTATTAGAAGAGATGACATCTATGCTTGACATCTACTCTTAAACTTCTTTTTTTTTTGAGACAGGGTCTCGCTATGCAGTTTAGGCTGACCTTGAGCTCACTTTGTAGCCCAGCCTGGCCTCGAACTCACAGTGATCCTCCTGCCTCAGCCTCCCAAGTCCTGGGCTTACAGGCGTGCGCCACCACGCCCGGCAGTTCTTACTAAATTACTTTAGCCGGGTGGGGTGGCAAACGCCTTTAGTCTCAGCACTGCAACAGAGGCAGAGGCAGGAGGATCAAAAGTCCAAGCCCACCCTTGGCAATTTAAGTAGGCCATGTCTCAAAATAAAAATAAATTTTAAAAGCTGAAAGGGTTGGGGATGCTGTCCGCTCAGTGTGAAGGCCTTGGGTTCATCCCCCAGAATCATCAAACAAAAACACAAAGCTTTCTCACCATGTAGCTTAATGAACGTGCTGTCACTGCCCTCCGTACGCTTTTTAGAGCCCTTACAAATATTTGTGCCTTACATTGAAGATATATTATTTAGCTTTATTTCATGGCTAAGGGCATAGCTGCGTGGTCCAGTGCAAAGTTAGCATATGTGAGACCCAGGGTTCGCTCGCGCTCTCTGTCTGTCTCTCTCTTGTTGCTGGGGAGTAGAGCTTGGTCTCCCAGATGCAGTGCCCACAGCTGGAGAGAGGAGCAGAGGACTAGGATGGAAAGGAACTGTGTAAGACAGTTAACAGTAAAGTTGACTATCCCTCCCCCACCCCCCACCTTCCACTCTGGCTTGAACCTGTGGTTCCAGCACTGGGGGGGTTGAGGCAAGAGGATCACACGCCTTGCATGTGCCAACCCACGCTCTGCCGCTGAGCTGCGGCCCCAGCCCTGTGGCACACGGTTTTTTTGTTTCTGTCTTTTTGTTTGTTTGTTTTGTTTTGTTTGTTTGTCTTTTTGTTTGTTTGTTTGCTTTTTGTCTTTTTGAGACAGGGTCTCACTGTGCAGTGCAGGCCAGCTGTGAGTCACTTTGTAGCCCAGGCTGGTTTTGTTTTTGTTTGTTTGTTTGTTT